TCGTCATGGCCCTCTGTAGGCGCAGACATTCTGTGACTGTCCCCATGGAGTTCACAGTGACAGGCAAATGCGGATACGGACGGCGCTAAATCATTCAGGTAGGCCACCACCAGCCTCAGCGCGCCATAGGCTCTCCCGCCACCTCATAAGTTATGGTTGGCGGCATCAAGTTTCGGATTTGACTGTCACTGTGGCCAGCCACAGGACGCCTGCGCCTGCAGAGGGACTATGGGCGATTTGCGTTGCACCACTAACACATACACGTACAATATATACAGAGACACACAAATCCAGTATGTTACTGGTTAACATGCCATATTTTATACAATAGCCGACCATAACAAAATCACAGCCTACAAATTTCCACACTATGCTACATCCACATGGACGCAAACAATTGCCACTTCACCTTTGATGTTTTCCTCACAAGTACTTTCCCCATTTATGCATGCAACACAATGTGCCTACTGCAAAACATTGTCTGTAAAATCTGATCATGCCTGATAAGGCGTGCCTCGATGCTATCGAAAATAAACTATTTATTTATTTGTTTATTTGAAACGCTTAGGTTTCATCTCAAAGCTCAACATATGCGTTTCTCATGTTCTTAAAAAATGCAATTTGTGTCGTCGTGTTGATGCCGATGATTTGTTTTTCAAATATCACAAAAATGATAGATTGCTGCAACACGTAATCACTGGAGACAAGAAATGGTTTGTCTACAACAATCTTAATCGTGAGAGATCATGGAGTAAAAATGAGGTGATGCTATTTGTTCGGTAAGAATTGAAAGGAATCGTTTTCTTTTGTGATTCTACCGGACAAAACAACGATCAATTCTGAAGTGTATTGTTATCAGTTGGACAAGTTGAATAATCCACTGAAATAGAAAACGCCAGAATTAAACAGAAAAGGTGTAGTGTTCTAAGAAGATAATGTGAGCTCTCATACAAGTTTGGGAACTCGCCGAAAGCTTTTACAGCTAGGATGGGATACATTGCCACACCCAGCAGGTTCTCCAGATCTGACACCTTCTGATTAATGTTTGTACTCGTCTGTACAAAACATTTTAGACAGTAAAATCTTTAATTCAAATGAGGTGATCGACAATCAAATAAAATGGTCATTTCAAGCAGCGCGAGCGATCGTTTGAGCGCTCTAAACGACCAATTTTTATGCCCCAGGCCGTCCCAATTGGACACATTTTGGACGACTTTTAGTCCCTCAAAAAAATTTCGGTTTAGCCTAACGGCTACACTATTGTGTAATTAAAGTTCGGGAATCGATTTCAGCTCAATGTTCACGACACTGCAACCAGGAAAGATGTGATCGCGGTACATGGTAGTTTGTTGGAAATTCGTCCAAAAAGTGACGAACTGGGACAGCCGAAGGCAAAAAAATGGTCATTCAGGGAGCATCAACGGTTATCTAAGCGGACACCATCATCATCATTAAACACGTCAGCTAGAGGTGGGAAACACCTCAACTACTGTGCCGCAATCCGCGTTAGCATGTGAGTTGAAATTAGAAGATAAACGCCTAGCAAAGCATGTTGGGGGATGGCCAAGAATCGGGGTGTTGAAAACAGGGGGGATAAAAGTGAAGTTGGAACGGGTCGGTAAGAGAGAAAAAGCGTAAGAGTGGGAATAAGAAGACGGGAAGGCTTGAGCAGTAGCATCCAAACCCCTATCCACCCTGCTCGATGCAGCAGATAGGGCACCGTTGATTATTCTCTGCGGTGGCCAGAGCATCAATAAACTGTTAGAAGAGAAATTCATCGTAATGCGTGCGCAGGATACTGTCAGGTTGCCCAGGCCTAGGCAGGAGAACGATTAGGGTTCTCAACCAAAGCTTTTGGTTCAAAAACCTTACCGCAAGGCAGCGGGTTTGGCGTTGGGCTGCAACTAATCCGTTTTAAGGAATAAGGAGCCACCCTCATTCCAACCCCCAACCTGGAGGACCAGGAGGCTGAGTTTGTCTGGCCTCTAACCATTGACCAATCTGGTATGAGTGACCCTGAAGGTGCAAAAGCACCACTCAGGATAGCTCAATGGATCGCTGAGGCACACAAATCATCGCACCACGGTAATGTCCAGCCTCATTGCGATGGACACCAGCGGACACTTTTTGGCCACTTGTGCGGACGGGGAAGCCAACTACAAATCCGGAAAGGTATCAGTTAGTCGGTAACTCGTTGAGCCAGTAGATCTCTCAGAGCAGCAACAAAGTGGCAGGCTGAGGGTAGAACGAAAAAGCCCAATGTTCCTGCATGAGATCTCAATCTAACCGGTGTGGAATGTAACGGCTAAGCAAGCCTAAATGATGGGTGCATGTTTGACAAGTTTGAAAATACAACGGAATGCGCATTGCATGCACTGATCGAGTAATAGACAAGAAAAGGGAAAATACCCACCTTTGTCTGTACTGGGTTAGCAATACGTTCAGCTTGACAAAAAGAGCTCCGGATACGCCACCGAATACGCCCATCACGATAAACAGCACCAGCTCCAGGATAGAGTAATGATCTAAAAACTGGGGAGAGAAAAAAAGAAAGATACGAAAATGCCATCGTATATTTCAGCAAACTAAGTGAGTTCATGCTGTGATACTAATATCATACCCGTTTGAGCGAGATTTAGCAGAGAATGAGGGGGGTGGGCACGAGCACTAGGTGTCTATAAAAGATGTTGTAGAATGAGCGTCCGGGAATCAACCACACACTCGAGTGAGCCAAACTAGTAGCCTACAAAGCATGCGAGTAATTAGCCGGCTGACATCTCACGAGTTTCGCTAAACCGCCAAGTTGAATTGACGAAGTGCAAACAAAACAAAGCACAGAAATTGCAAAAGAACATTAAGAGAATTTTAGAGCGTTTGAGGAGTTTCGTTGAGACCAGACTCAGCCAAACAGTCATACGGAGAGGTGCTAGGTTGTTGTCTCATCCTACTGGAATTAATCGCACGCTCGAATCCGCCGAATCCGGTTGCAATCAAATCCACCAGAGTAACAGATGACAGCACCACACCATCATGACGGATTACCGATTGTGCAGAGGACAGGTCTGGTCTCTATAAGTACGAATTCGTTTGTAATCCGCCACACTGCCCCTATCCATGGCCCTGTGGCTCGATGAATCACGAACAAGAGTCTCATTGGCTCAACTTAAGCAAGATTTGTCGAGTGCGCGCTACTGGCGAGACCCAATGAGAATGGCAGTCTGATGTGTGGCAGCTGTCTGATTACAATGAACCTTCTCATGAAAGAACCCTAGAATGACAATTTGCGCATGTAATTTGATGATTGTGAGCCGCTCATATGTGTCACACATGTGTACGGGATGGAAGGTGGCGCCGAAAAGGGATGCAAACGCAATGTCCGCAAAATGTAGTACAGGGATCCAGTTAGGGTTAGTTGTAATAAATAGACTGTCCAATTACCGGTACTATTGCCTCAAAGGAAGTAGGGTCGACCAAACACAACCACAGTAAGAACACAGCCATGAAGATAAACATAAGAGCATTGCTTACGACCAGAGAGAAGAAAGATTAGGATCGCACAATATTTTATGTACGAACACTGGTATAAATTAAAGTTACATAGCACACACACACACACTGTGGTTGCGCCATAATGAGTAACTGTGTGTGGATATAGATTCTACAACGGTGATGCTCAATGGCAAGCAGTATGGAAGTGGTCGTACATTTGTGAAACATGCATGTTTTCCAGTTAGGCAAACCGTGGCTGTATTCGAGTAATTGTCCGTTTACCTCGGGACAGTGGTTAGCGGTATATTGCGTCTAGTCTTGTCCGCGACACAATGGAGCCGGATAAAGTTTTACGGGTTGTTGAATGGACGGATGTACTCCTTGCGTCTATATAGTTTGCGAATGTATTCAGTGCACTACCGAAGGGTTAGATATGACCTAATTATAACCCACCGTATCTTAACTGAGAAAGTTGATCTGCATTTGTCTTGGCCTACTCTAAGCGCCACACCATGTCATCGGACGGTACGTGTTGGAGGCTGAAATCGACGTCAAAACAAGGGCCCCTTCGCGCGAAGGACGAATGAGCAAACGGAACGGAACCATTTGTAATCTTCAGGTCAGTTTGGAAAGCGTCAAGAATGATGAGTCAAACGAGCTGCTGCACAAGAGGTACGCTGCAGTTTCTTTAGCGTCGTCTTATAAGGTGAGCCCAGACTCATAGACTGCGGCTAAGCCCACTAACTGCTGTTAATGTGACTTCAAAACCCGTTGAGGTGATTTTTACTGGATAGCAGCGTGCTATTACGTAACGCAATGGAATCCGCGGCCGCACTTCCTGCCGAACGCGCGATGGACGACATGAAGTGGTTGAAATTTTGCGTAAGGAAGCTTCTTCCGCCTTGGTTTCCTGGTGTTACTGTCAGGAAAGTGAATGGACCACGTAACGTCCCAGTTAACGCGCCAAACCCTCGAACGCACTTAGTTCGTCTGCTCCTATTTATTCCGCAACGCACTGTTGCGGTGTGCCCTCAAAATGAAGCGCACTAATGTTAGCGTTCATCCGGACCACCCGCTAACTGATAGCCTGAAGCTAAAAAGGCAATCAATGACATCAAAAGCAGGCGAGCGCCCGGTGAACATGGTCTGCGGTTGTTGTGTTTTCGGGTGGTCAACCAGTGGTCCTTTTCCGCCCTGCCGATGCCCGTTCTAGTGGCGTACGACCCACATTGCGAATGCCTTTAGATAGTGCTCAGCAATGTGTGCAGCCTAAGAAATAAGCTGTACGACATAGGCCTGCTTTCAGATGGATCTCATCCCGACATACTCGCATTCACTGAAACGTGACTGCCACATGACGTCACTGACGGTTGCCTCTCACCTTCGCTTTTCTCCGAGGTCCGGAACTTCTTGGGGATCTGGGATTGGACCGAGAAACAGTTTTTGCCCGGGACAGAACATAATAACCTACAAGGACCTACAAAGAACATGGCTGTACAACAAATGGATAAAACTGCACTCACTACCACAACCGTTGTCCAGTAATGATACCTGGACACGATGCCTTCATATTTCTGTAAAGTATACATAACCTGACAAATCCAGACACAAGAAACTGACGTTTTGCTCACCTGGACACTCACAAAGACGACTCTTCGTGAATCTCCTATCCTCGATTGGCCTCAGCGATTATGGCGGCCCTGACCAAGATATCTGCTCAATTAACAGAGGAAATTGAAGTCAGTTGACTGTGAATAACCGAGTGTGAAATCAGTCGGCAAGCTGCTCTGCCAGTTGTACAATAGTGTACAAACGGATTTCTGACAGTGTTCCAGGACGTGGTGGGTTTTCGCCTGGCAAGCGTTCTCCCTATAGAAAACCACAAATGTCCGTTTAACAACACTGCGACGTGGCTGATGTGACTCGCCACTGAATAAAGTCACTGCCCACAACTACATACTGGCAAGTCGACTAGAATCATAATTCAATATTTTCTTGACACGTTCAAGAATAAGATACTCCCTGCCTACATGTATTGTTTTCATTACACATACAGTGCCCTGACTGTTTGAACTACGCACGCTAGAACCCAACATATCGTCATGCATTAACGACTTTATTCCTCATGATTACTTTTATAATTTCTGCAGCATGTACAACTTTCGGTTTACTGCCGATTACATACATAGCAACGTGTTTGTTGCGAAACATAATTGCATGTAAAGTTTGATCATACCAGGTTTTGTATGTCTCGATAAATTCGAGACTAAGCTATTGATTTATTTATTTATCTGTCTGGCTACGCAATATTAAGATGTGATCGGTTCGTTGGCCGACAAGGCAAAGGCGTCGCGTTTTAGGTTAGTTGTGAACTTGACGTTTTGCGTAATTACATGTTTCAGTCGGTAGACAAAACTGTCGAAGTTCTGCCGTTGTGATTAGCACTTCCTAAGCTCAAATTGCAGTAGTAATTGTGTGCAAAAGCCCTGGGAGTGCATCCAAAGAGGTGCTTGAAAGCATTCGCTCCCAATCAGCAAACAGGTGTTTGATACCGGATGGCTTCAATCTATCGGAAGTTGGTTGGGTAGATTTTTCTTTCAACTCGGCGGCAGATACTTTCTGTACATTGACGCCCGAGTACCGTCTGTTTTGCACTTTATTTTGGCCAAATCACTAGACTATGTAGGTCGCATCACCTACGGCTCTTCCTTAGGCACCAGTGATCATGTTCTTTGCTCCTTCAGCTGTGCTCTGTCCAGATGTCCCCAGAGCACCGCTGAGCCATATCCCGACATATAGCGTGCGAACTATCAGGCAATGTATACCAAGGTTTCTGGTTTGCGTTGCGAAATTTCGGTGGCCGATACGGGTCAGGCAGTCTGGGAGAAATTTAAATGGCAACTCATGGAGGTATCGGCTCCCTACTTCCCAATTGCTAGGTGAAAAGCGAGATGAGCACAACCCCCTGGATAGATACCACTGGTATGTACCTGCCCCAGAGGCGTTCTAGGTGCTGAAGCACCCGCGGTGCCGCTTCATCGATTAGCACCTATGACGGGTAAAGTGAGGCTAGCGAGAGATGTAAAAAAATGAGGAAAGCTCGGACGTTGTGTGAAAAAGGGATTGGAAAGCCTCGAAAAATCCGATCTTCGCTTATGTTAAGAGCGCTGTCATTCCAATTCGGCAATTCCAACTGTGATGCGGGCAGATAGAAGTTATGCGTATGCGGATTCTGAGTATGCTTGTGTACTTGGTGAGCAGTATACCGGTGTTTTGTGAGGCCGCGTTGACTAGCGTTGAACTTGTCCCCAGAGTCCCTGGGGGTTCCCATTTAGCTGAATGTACTGTGGTGGAAACGGAAGTCCTTAGGCGGCTACAAAAATATGAACAGGAACCTGATTTAATACACCCGAAGCTTCTACACGTATGGCGGCGAAACTAAGTGGACCGCTGACGACGGTGTTTCAGAAGTCAGTTCACAGCTGTACCTTACCTTCTGAATGGAAGAAGGCTGTCATCTGTCCTATCTCCAAAAATGACGACAGGGTTCTCTCAGCCAATCATAGGCCAGTCAGTCTGACTAGCGTCGTGGTCACACTGCTTGAATAGCTGGTGAAAGATTCGTTGGAGGTCACCTGAATAGGTTTATTCTATTCAACAGTCCACAACACGGATTCTAAAGGGGCTTACGTGTCTGACGAATTTGTCAGTTACTCCTGAAGCTTGAGCTGAGACAGTGAACAATGGTCACCGTAAGCAGTCCACAAGTAGAGGTCCCAGAATGTTGTGGTTAATACGCTGTTCTTTCGGCCGACGAATTTGCGAAGCTGTTTCAGCTTCCGTTCGGCCATACCTGGACCATTGCGTGTAAGCTTGCCCGCCTTGCCGGAGATGATGGAAGGTGACATATAAAATGAACCGTGTTCTATTCCGAAGATACTTCGATGTTTTGTTTCTTCCCCGGCTGATTTGGCAACACAGAGCAGGGGCAAGATTAGGGTTACAAACACGCTCAATGCGTCTGTACGTATTTGACCTGTGAA